AGGTGATAGGTAAGTTCAGATGTGTATTCATGCATAGTCAGTTGGTAAGTTACTTCCCTGTCCCAGATACTGTGCTAGGAGTAATAAGGTGAAAAAGATACAGTCCTTGCCTTCGAGGAACTCAGTGTGGTGGTGGAGACACCCATTTTAGAGTAACATTTGCAAAAGCAATACTAGAGGTCTGCACTAAATGTTGTGGGGTGTTGTGGGGTGGAGAAGGGCTCCTACTCCAGCCTGTAGTGGGGAGAGAGGTATCGGGGAGTGGTTGTTACCTGGTTGGGGTTGTGTCCAGGTAGACATCCTATGACTGTGTAAGGATAGGCTTGAATACGGAGAGTTAAAGTTGTTAGCACTGGAGAAGGAAGAGTGACTTTTAGAGACTGCTGACACTTCAACTTCCATTATCTCCTTTTCTGTTCTTTATACCTTCTGAGTTCTCTCCTCCTCTGTTCTACTTTTCTCCAGGGAAGTGATCTTGTTCACCAGAGCATCTTCTTCCAATCCTTATCACAATCTCTCCCCACTCCTTAGCCCCCACCCCCAGCCTTGATACTTCTCTCTGGACTAGGAGAGGGAGATTGTTTCAGTATTTTCATCATTCTTTACATCGTAGACTTATGAGTCTGCTGGGTGGCTAGTTTACACAGACTCGAGTATATTAGCACTATTAGTCTTGGTGCAAGTACTATGCTAGTACAATGCTGGTAGTCTTAGTGCTCGGTACGATGTTAATAGTATTAATATCAGGTCATGGTTAATGGGAAGAACCGTGACCTACAAGTTGAAGGTTGCATTCTCATCCCAGCTCCTGTATAAATAACTGTATAACCATGGATGGGTTGGATCTTGGTTTTATAATCTATGAAGTGAGGTGATGCCTGATGTTTACTTTCATCTCTGTGATTCTAGGGTTCTGAACTTTTCTCCATTTAATTTTTAGGAGTTGGAAATCAAGGCTAAAGAGACAGGCCCATTCTCCTTTTTATAATTCACCCAGGAAGAGTCATCAGAGACATCCAGTTTTTCTCAGCTTTTCCCAAGCCATTAATAATTGGAATAAAAACCACCAGCTGAAAAGGAAGAGCCCTTGTTAGAATTTTTGGAAGAACAAATGGAGTAGCATCTAGTGCTTGGTGGATAGAATAGAGTCCACTTTGAAAAATTAAATGTGGTTATACTGGGGACTGGTAAAGTGAGGCAAATACTTTGGGCTGGTTAGGATGAACCCAACTCCAACCAACATGGGCCTAGAATGTTTCTTCTAGTCTCAAACTTTTGTTCTAGAACCCATTTGCCTCTTCCTTTTTCCTACTATTTTAATGTGTATGCCTCCTTTTTCTCAATTAGGAGCCTAAAGAAAGGTATGATGATGATTTGGTTTTTGTTCTTGTATATTTACATGCTATTATGCTTTTTGTGTGTGTTCAATGGCTCTCATATATATTATCCCATTTGCTCCTTCTAAATAAGTAAGGCAGGTTTTACCTACCTATACCCAAGAAGACCAAGGCCCAGAGGAAATAAGTGACTTGTCCAAGTCCATGATATCTTACTGATTAAAAAATGAGAAATTGGCTGGGTGCAGTGGCTCACAGCTGTAATCCCAGCACTTTGGGAGGCTGAGGTGAGAAGATTGCACCTGTAGTCCCAGCTACTTGGAAGGCTGAGGTGGAAAGATCATCTGAGCCCAGCAGATTGAGGCGGTGGGTGGTAGCTGTGATTGTGCCACTGCACTCCAGCCTGGATGACAGAGTGAGACATCATCTTCTTCGTCATTAAATAAATACGAGAGAGGGAGGGAGAGAGACAGCAATAGATAGAGAAGTAAATAAATACATAAATATATAAAGTCACTGCCTTTACATGACTTGGTTATTTCAAGTGCTTATATCCAGGAGAAGCATTATTTTCTGGTTAAGGTGGATCAAATTGGAACTCCTGATTTAGAGGAACATACACGGTATCTATTATGGGGTATTGGATATTGAGGCTCGGAGTTCACAGAGTTCAGGGAAACACTGCAACAAGAGTGAGAAAGAATGGCTGTTGGTTTTTCCTGAGGAAACTCTGAGATACTGTAGAAAAGGAGTGAACAAGAAGTACTCCAGCAAGAGAGAGCAGAGGAAGTGCCCCAGCAACAGAACAGACACTGCTGGCATGTTGGAGCCCATCTGGGATGAGGGGCTGCTGCTGTGCTCCCAGGAGCCACACAGGATGTAGCTGTGCCATATGCATGCTTCAAGTCTTGGTCTCCAAGATAGTTTTTGGCTCTCTGAAAATGAAAGGAGGCATTTTGGATGACTAGAGTTCTTTATGGGCCAAGAAACAAGAAAGAACTCGGAAGAACATGCTGCTGCTTCTGTTCTCCTTCAGTGTCTGGAACCCTACAGGAAGTGGTGCTGAACTAGAGTAGGACCCTTGCATTCTGCTGAGACCCTGTATCCTCACTCTTTCTGTGCCCTTGGCTCATCAGGAGGCAGACTCAGAGGGAGGCAGCGGGGGCCTGGAGGTTAGGCTCCAACTGACCTGGATTTGAATGCTGGCTCAATATTTTACCTTACTTTCTTTGGCTTTAAAAGGGAAAGCTACCCTACCTTATAAGTTGTTGTAATAATTAAAATGAAGTCACATAAAACTCCTAGCACAATGTTTAGCACACAGTAGGCCCTCAGTGCTTATTATGAACCCAAACCAGATGTATTTGTCAGTATTTTGATGCAGCAACAAACAACCCCAAAATCTCAACAACATGCATTTAGTTCTTACTCATGTTACATGAATGCTGCAGTCAGCTGCAGGTGGCTATGGATTGGGTAGACTTGGTAGATTTGGCTCAGTTCCAACTGTATTCTCACTCCAAGACCCAGGATGAAGGTGCAGCCACCATCTGGGCAAGTTGTTCTCACCGTGGAGGGCAAATGCTTAAGGGGGGGGGCACAGAACTAAACCACACAAGTGCCTTTAAAGTTTCTATGACACATGTGCTCACCTTCCATTGACCAAAGCAAGTCATATGGACAAGGATCAATGCAAGAATGGGGAAGAAACAAATAATTGGTGATAAATAAGACAGTGTATCAACTGAGTTAAATTCTGTAACAAATGTATCAAGTACCTCCTATGTAACAGAGTCTTTAGAAGTCTGCATACTGGAGTTTGTGATTAATGGAGGAGAAAGATGTCTAAATAGGAAGTTCTCAGACAACAGTGATGTGATTCTCTGGGGTGCTGTGACTATAGCAAGAGTAAGAGGAAGCTTTAAGAGGTAGTGATAGCTGAACAAGTCCTGAGGGATGAGTAGGAGTTGGCAGAAGAGTAGGAAATTTGCAGAGGGAACATCATGTGCAAAGGTCAAGCATCAAGGTGGGACATGATGTTCTGAAACATTACAACCAACATTTTAGAGTGGTTGGAACTTTTAGTACTGTAGGAGGATTGGAAGGGCATGGCCCCCTCTGAAAGGCTTTGTGCTCCTGAAGGTGCAATGGGAGTATTTTAAGGGTCAGAGCGAAGGCATATCACAATCAGATGTGCATTTTGGAAATACCCTTTGGACCCCAGTGTGGAGAGTGTATTAGACATGGGCAAGACTTGCAGCAGAAATCAACTAGGAGACCCTTGCAGGAAGCAAGGCAGGGCATGATGAGGTCCTAAACTCACATGGTGCCATGGGGATGAGAGAAATAGACAGGGTAACCAGAGAGGAGGAGGTAGGACTGGTTTGGGTGGTAAGGAGGTTGAAGGGGAAGAGTGTTAATGTGCCTCTAGGGCTTGGAATTGCTGGAGATGTCATTCATGGACATGAGCTAACACAAGAGGGGAAACATGTTACAGGAGAGAAATGAAGGCTTGATTTCCCTCCCTCTCTCCCTTCCTCCTTCTCTCTCCCTCCTTCCCTCTCTCTCTTCCTTCTCATTGATTAAAGTATAGCCTAAGCTGCAATAATTAAGAGACCCTAAAATATTGTAACTCACACAAAATAGTTTGTTTCTCTGTCCTGTGAGAGTCCAGATCTGTGGGGATAAGTCTACCATTTCAACAAGCTCCCAAGACTGCTCCAGTCACAGCCATTTCTCAGCCAGGAGGACCAAGGAAAGCAGTTTCAGGACAGGCAGCTCGTCTATAGACAGGTGACCTAGGAGTTGCACACATCACTTCTCCTTTTTGTCCTGAACCTAGTCACGTGGCCACACTTAGCTGCAAAAGAAGCTAGGAAATGTAGTGCTTGCCTGGCTTGGCTGGCCAAATTAAAACCTGGGACATTCTATTACTAAAAGGAAGGAGATGGTTAGTGCCGCCATCTGTTGAGGAGTGAGTTTGAGGGGCTAGCATAACATCCTGCTGGAGAGTGAAGTTGTATATCTGATTCTGGAGCTCAGGAAAGAGATCTAGTCAGGAAAGGCAGATAAGTTGGCAAAGGTTGATAAGAGCTTTCTTAGGGGAGTTTTTCCTGTCCAAATGTCTGTTCCATCCCAGAAATCTGACCCACCTGAATGAACCAAAAAAGTTTCCATAGTACCTGTTCATTGCAGTGTAAAGACTGACCTGTTTTAGCACTGCTTTGTCCCATTGGAACAGCATGTAAGTCAGCTAAACATTGCCCATGAACTCATTTCAGATCTGTGAAAGATGAGGTAAATCAGACAGAAAGGAGGTATGTGTCTGGTTTTTATCTACACAGTGGTGGTAGCAGAGAATGGGAAAGCATGGCACAGTTGGACACACAGAAAATATGCTTAATGAATAGCAAGCTTTGTGTGCATAAGCACCACAGTTATTGCCAGCAAATAATAACCAGGCCATGAGCAAAGCCTACCTGGGCA